TCAACACAGCTCATAGCCAATCAGCGTTCAGAATTTACAAATGCTATATTATAAATGCAAATATGGTATGAGAATTTCATACCACCTTGCCAGGCTAGACGTAATTAGCATGTCGGCATATAAACAGGCCCCTAAGTGAACTTTTGCTAATAAAACCAAACATCTTAATTAAGGAAAGGATATGCTGGTTCATATATATATATATATATATATATATATATATATATATATATATATATATATATATATATATATATATATATATATATATATATATATATATGCTCAATTAATGCTGCAGCAGTTGTGTTGATCCCTGCACTGCTATTTAAATTATTCAAGATTTCTGCCAATTATGCATTCCACACATTACATTAATTAATGGTCAACAAAATATGTGGTTGTCAGAACATACATATAATCATTTGCAGAATTATATACATGTGCATTATGAGATTTATACACATATAGCCTTGATTTTATTCTTTCTAACTTAAGCTTTTCCAATGTCATTTAGTCTTTTGCAATGTTTAGTTTCTTTGTCTGCAGTTTGTTTCCAAACAAAATTAAATAGAGGCTGTGAATGTGTAATATATGGTATGTCCAGTAATTTTCCAAATGGTTTTATGGTGTGTCATTATTATGTTGAAAACTAGGCAGGTGGGGTGATCATAGGTGATGCACTGAAAAATGGGGGTGGGGGCACTTCCTTGCCCAACAAAAATTGAAAATATTGTGTACCAATTTCACCTTCTACAAACCACCATGTGTTCTCTTTAATGTATATATTAAAAAGTCATAGAATTAGCTGCTTGCCTATGCAATGAGGTGAACTACCTGAAAAGATTCCTTGATTTTTGAGTCAAAATTGCCCAACTAGGTCAAATTTAATATAATTTCTGCCATGCATATGGAAGGAGTCTCAGACTGTTGAGTCTAGCTATGATTCAGCAATTAATTACCAACCATTAATAAAATTTTCACCATTTTCAAGTATGTCCTCCATACTGGAGTAAGCATACTTTCTTGCCAGTGTATCATCATGATTCATGTTATCTGAACCATCTCTACTTGTCGTATGATCAGAGAACTGAACAGCATTTTCTTCATCCACAAGCAGGTAGTAAACTTGTAATGTCACCACCACTGCAGTGAAAACTCCAACGCAAAACGCAGCTGAGCGAAGTGAACTTCTGTCAGTCATATTTCATTTTTTTATCAATAACAACAGCTAAAACATTTCAACATGCCAGTCATCATAAAAAGAAACCAATATCCAACGTTTCCAACCAAAATGCAAAGCACTTCCGCAAAATGGCTACATACTCGCAATGCTGATCACCATCACCATGCATGTCACCAATATTCTGTGACGTTTAATAGGAACATACTACACACATCGGTACATGAAGTATTGACGTCTGTGTCGGGTAATTACTCGCGTAAAAACGCTCCGGTTGTTGCAATGTTGATGAAAACAGGATTGAACAATGTTTTGGTGCCAACATTGTTCACAGTTGTCAACAATATTGAACAATACTGTTACACCCGATTCAGGCTCAACAATATTGTTCAATATTGTTGACAAGTGTGAACAACGTGGGCAGCAAAACATTGTTCAATCCTGTTAAATTATTAAAGCGGCGGGCTCGGCGTTTAGCCTGCGTGGCAGGCTCACGCAGACTAGGGTCCCTGTCTTCAGTCACTAGAGACCTTACGATTTTAGGACGCAACGTGACGACGACGGCCAAAACAAACTCCTTCAAATAAATGGTAGTAAAGATAACTCGTCGTATATTATCAATCGTATGAATTTAATACAGTCTTAGAAGTTGAAGACATGGGTTTTTTATAGTTGGGAAGAGCAGTATCAAGACGTAAAAATCTGTGATCTGCGGCGTTGTAAATTATTCATATATTGTAATTATTCAACTCTTTTCAATGGTTTATTGTATTGGTAGCCGTTGCCGTCGCGTTGCCGCCCTAAATCGTAATAAAGGTCTCTATTGTCTTCAGCAGATGACGCCATATATCTGAAGATGACGCCCATTTTACTCAAATGTAAATGACTGGGTCAGTAGTACTGATTCAAATTCTCTACTGCATGTAATTCAAATTAATGTAAGTGATTGGAAATTAGTTTGGAATAGGTAGTACAAGTCTTCTATAAGACTGAATGCAGCTAATATTGCCTTGCGTCATCCAAAAAGAGAATACTATATATGCAACAAAATTCCTAAATCATAAAAACAATCCAAAACATGCCTGGAAACCAAGTTGAAAGAGATTTTTAATTAATATTTCAACAAACATAAATTGTAAACACGCGACTGATTGGCAAAAAAATTGTGTTAGTGTCCACACTACAACGAAAATGATAAAATTATCGTTTGACGATAACGATTTTAAAATCGCTCACCTGAGCGATTTTTCAGTTTTCAGTCGGACGATATATAACGATAAATTTTTGACCAATCAGCGCGCCTATACAAGCAGTATCGAATCGTTATCGTTGTGTAGTGTGACCTGGCTTGCTCAAACGATCGAGCATGACAGCGATAGTAACTTTGGAAACTTCGTTACCAAACGAGAACCCGCTAGTAAATTTTCTTTTAAGGCTATAAATGAATTTACAGGCTTATCACAAAACATAGTTACTAATACAACATTACCTACTTCGAAAGCTACAGGTGTTGACAAAATGTCTACAAACGTTCTTCAAGCTGAAGTATAGAGAAGAGGGCAACGAAGACCTGAAGAATGTCCGAAATTGGCTATCTGCAAATGAACTTTAATCAGGCATGTACTAAAAGGCGAAACGTCGAAACGAAACGACCGAAACGAAACGGACGAAACCATCGAAACGACCGAAACGAAACAACCGAAACGAAACGACCGAAACGAAACAACCGAAACGAAACGACCGAAACGAAACGGCCGAAAATGTAAATTACAGGAAAATTGAAAAATGCGGATACGGACGGACGGGGGGGACAGGACACGGATGGACGGGGGGGCAGGCGGATGGACGGGGGGGACGGCTTCATTTGACACGAAACTCAATTTTAAAATCAAATTCGCGTTTTGTTGAAAGGGATATATTAGGATATATTATAAAAGACTATTATTAATCGTAATAAATTGTCCGCGAAAAGTTGATAAAATACATGTGGAAATGCGGGGTTTTTCGAACCTTCGTAACCCTTGATATAAGGATAAAACGCGGATATGCTGCAACTTTCATGCTTAATATTCTCAGTCATCTGGGCATGTAGTAATCTAATTTTATGCAATGTAATGTGCTATTTTTTCAAGCGCTTTTCAATGCAGTTATCGGTTTAAATATACCTAAAATTCCCGTTAAGAGATATGACAATTGCCGTACGGCCTACTTTTACGCAAATGAAAATTTAATTTAGCTACAATTGCAAAACTTTCATGCTTAATTTTTTCTGTTATCTGGGTATGTAGTAATCTAATTTTATGCAATGTAATGTGCTGTTTTTTCAAGGACTTTTCAATGCAGTTATCGGTTTAAATATAACTCAAATTCCCGTTAAGATATGACAACTGCCGTACGGACTACTTTTACGCAAACGCAAATTACAACTGCAAATTTCATCAGCACATTACATTGGCATAAAATTAGATTACTACATACCCAGATGACTGAGAAAATTAAGCATGAAAGTTGCAGCATATCCGCGTTTTATCCTTATATCAAGCGTTACGAAGGTTCGAAAAACCCCGCATTTCCACATGTATTTTATCAACTTTTCGCGGACAATTTATTACGATTAATAATAGTCTTTTATAATATATCCTAATATATCCCTTTCAACAAAACGCGGATTTGATTTTAAAATTGAGTTTCGTGTCAAATGAAGCCGTCTCCCCCCCGTCCATCCGCCTGTCCCCCCGTCCATCCACCTGTCCCCCCCCCGTCCATCCGCCTCTCCCCCCGTATTAGACTGTCATGGCGGAAGGACGTGCTCTTAATAAGCTCCATCAAAATGCTGCTAATACAAATGAAAATAGTTGTCTGAATTCCTTTCTTACTAGTGCTAGTTGCACTAAACTGCCTGGCATGTCTTATGATAGAGTACGTCTAAAGTGGACCGGTGATTTAACAAATTTAAAACGAATTGTACGAGAAGTGTGGGGCCTCGAAGGCAAATGGTCATCACCTGGGGGCAGTGAACTAAAAATACCTGGAACGCTACCTCCAATAGGATTGGCTTATGATCGGATGAAGCCAAATTTTACCTCCAGCCGCGCGTGTTCTACCTCCAGACACGCGCGTTTGTGTTGCGAGACATTCTCGCGAGACCATTTCGGCGAAGTGACTGAATGTTTTTTCTCGGGCGAATGGATCGAAAATTGTCGTTTATTTAGGGTTTTAAGCTATATTTTTGTATTAAAAGTGTATTTAAAACATATCTTGAACCCTACCGACTAAAATTGCAAGGAAGAAAGTAACCGATTGGCCGACAACAAGTGCATATTTGAATGACTGGAACGTTTATATGCAGATGAAACTTGAGAAAGATAAGTAATTCTTTATCTTAACGTATAAAACATATATTTATAACAACTTCATTGATTGTTAAACAAGATAAGTTTATTTAATCTGTATCTATCACTTTGTTTGCCTTCGTTGACGACTTGTTCTGTGTATTTCTTGCCGAATGTGAATAATCGCAACATGAAATACTTGTCCGCGAAAAAAACTTTCTTAATGTTTTTAATGTTTATATTTGTTGTAAAACTTAATAAATACTCTACTACAAAACATAATTAAACTGTGGTTGGTAGTTTGATCTTGTTAGAATACCTTTTTCCCTAACTTTCAGACGAATAAATTGGAAAACGAATGAGCAAAATAGGGAAATTCACACAAATACTTATGATTAGACCACGGCAAGCTCCACTCCTCGCTCAACGTTTTTTCTCAAAAAAGGAAATTTAATTATGAATTCTACACAAATAAATTAAAAATATTTTACCCTAGAGTTTTGAAGGATGTTTTTATTGTAAAAAATGTACTGGTAGGTGCATTTTACGTCGTCTTAAACCATGTTTTAGTGCATTTTTTTACCCAGTTTTGGAAATTTAAAAAACCCGCGTTCATTCCCGTTACGTGAAAAGACTGGGCATGACAACAGTGGGCATGCCTGGGCATGGCTTCACATTTCCGGTTGGAGGTATCGTTCCAGTTATTTTTTAGTTCAATGCCTGGGGGCCAGTCGAAGAAGTTTTCTAGCACAAACTCTGACTTAGTAGTCACATGGCATAAAGGTAAAGCAAAATCTGTGCTTTTTAAAGGTAGAGACGGTGTTTCGGTGCGAGATCGATGTATATTGCTTTGCGAACAAGCAACTCAGTCCATGCTAAAGCCACATTTGCCAGACTCCAATGAAATTAAACTCTCGCAGCAAAATATTATGCACCTATCAATGTTAAGCCCCAGAGGGGGGGGGGGGGTTGGGCATAGGTGGGGCATTTGATTTTTTGAGCAAATTTTCAATCAAATGCCCCACCGTCGGGCAATAAATATTGGTCAAATGCCCCACCATCTTGCAATAAATTGCAATAAATACTATGTTAATAACAGTCATTTGGTTCAAATTGCCCCAACTCGGGGCCAAAATGCTAATCAAAATCCCCAGGGTGGGGATGGAATTGATGATCAAATACCCCACATATGCCCGACCCCCCCCCCTCTGGGGGTTAACATTGATAGGTGCATTACAAGTGCGTGTGATTGTCCTAACCTATCGGACAGAAATATGAATGCCGCCATCGATTCCCCTTCCCCGGTTGAAAGTATACAAGGCAGAACTATCCATCGTTCAGCTCCCGCTTTTGTCAATAATCATTGCCAGACTGAGCAAATGGAGCTGAATAATAATAATTGTGGTTGTGGCTGTGGAATTCTGGTTGCTGAGTTTGAAGGAATAAAACTTAATTTAGTTATTTTACAAAAGAAATTTGAGACTGAATTTGCGACCGAACGTACCAATGTAAGCCAACTTAAGCGAGAAATGAAAAAGCTCATGAAAAAGATAAAAACAGTCGTCTTGAGTCGGACTTGACTTTGTTTGTGAGAGAAAGACATGCCGAATTCGATTAATTGAATGAAACAATAGCCTTACTTAACGACAGAATCAAAACTAGTGAAGCGATTATTGATCAACTGAGACCTTCCAATGCAAGCATAAATTTGGAAGAAACATGTACTTTTGATTCTGCTCAATCAAAAGATGAGCTTGTCAGAAAATATCCAGTTTGTGTCGACATTAGTACGCAAACCAAGAATGACGATCAAAAATTATCTAATAATAATGCTGGTCAGTTTTGCATGAGTGAAAATGCGTATGTTAATCTCCTTAATAAGGTTGCCGAAGTGCGCAACGATACGGCTCATTCCATTAGTCAACCTCGCATAAATAAAAACGTTAATGCGAATTCCTCTAAGCATTTGGTTGCATGTCCATTCCTATTAAAGAGAGGACATTGTTTAAAGGATCAAGATGTGATTTTTCTCACAATATTAGCCAAAGTCGATTAAGTAAAAAGGCAAGCGTGAATCCCCCTAAAGAAGTCAACCACACTTTTCGAAGTAGATATAATCCAGAAGCACCGCATCAACAATTTCATAAGAATAAGTACAACAACCGGTGTATACGTAAAGGGCAGAACTTTAAGCGACCGGTTATCCATCGCAATAATCCAATTACGCCCCATTTTCGATGGTACCAGACCAATTACCATCCCCCACTACGATCCGAGAGACTAACACAAAGTTTATAATGGGAAACATACTTAGACTTTGTCCATCAAATGACAACGCCCTATATGCATGGTCGACAAAAACTGACACAGTTTTTCTAACCGAAAGTTCTCCGACCATCTACCCGATCAAGGTGGTATCTGGTCGAATCCGTGAACAGATTACTGGTGCGAAACTGAGAAGTAATCCGCATAACCTGATCAACGTTACATTAGAAAACCCATTACAAGCAGCGCCGCTACCTAATTTAATAGATACTCAAGTCAGCAATTCCATGACAATGTCTAGCTCAGATATAGAAATCTTACCATCTCAAGGCCTGGTGTCTACCCTTCCCAAATTTTTTCTTTCCAATGTACGATCCATATCCAATAAAGTAGATGATTTTGATGTAGTCGTCCAAAGAAATGGCATAGATTTTGCGGGAATTACAGAGACATGGTTGGATCCTAGCATCCCGGATAGCTGTATAAATATGCATGATTTTAATTAACCTGGTTAGAAAAGACCGCTCTGGTCAACGCGGGGGTGGAGTTTGTGCATTCGTAAAATCAAATATCCCATTCGTGCCTCTTCCTGACTTATGTTGTCCAGATCACGAGAGTCTGTGGCTAAAACTTCGACCCTATCGACTTCCACGGGAATATTCCTGCATAGTTGTTGGTCTTGTATACTATCCACCACAGGCCGATAATAACGAACTGTATGACCACCTCATAACCTCGTTGGACAAAATTTTAGCATCTTACCCAACAGCAGGTGTAATTGTTATGGGTGACTTTAACCAGTTCGACTCCAAACGCCTTTGCAGAAACACGTCACTTAAACAAATTGTAAAGAAACCTACCCGTGGGAATGCAACTTTAGATTTAATATTTACTAATATGAAACGTTGTTACAATGACCCTGAAATACTCCCTGCTATTGGACAATCGGATCACATGTCAGTCCTGTTACACCCCGTTAGTAACAATCACCGCCCTAATACCATTACCAAAGTCTGGTTCAGAAAGCGGAAGCAATCAAATATGCAGGCATTTGGTCGATTTCTTTTGGATCTTAACTGGATGGAATGTACTTTCGCAGCTACCCGATTGTCAAAAAATGTGTGACCTGTTTTATGACATTATTCTCATGGGTTTGGATACAATTTTCCCCAAAAAATCTGTTAAACTTCACTGTAGAGACAAAGCGTGGATTACCCCTGAAATCAAACTCCTCATCTCCCAACGACAAAAGGCCTTTGCCTTGGGAAGTACAATTGAATACAACAAATTGCGAAATAAAGTAATTCACGTCGTGAAACAGGCAAAGTCTAAATACTTCGAGTCTCAAGTGAATCATCTAAAAAATTCAAAGCCAAGGAAATGCTGGAGTGCTATTAAAAACCTAGCTGGCTTTTCTTTAAAGCTTGCCTTCCATTCTGCAGAGGTGAATGGAACTATCCTGCAGGGACGAGACTTAGCACTCGCTGTTAATAACGGGTTTTTAGCCGCCACTAAATCGTTACCGCCGCTTTCAATTACTGATAAATTATCTGTGGAAGAACCTACTGTTTTGTACCCTATCTCCGTTGTTGATGTCGAATCCCGTTTAAAAGCAGTTAAATCGAATAAAGCTCCTGGTCCAGACTCTCTGCCAAATTGGATTCTCAATAACTTTTCAATGGAGATTTCAGAACCTGTGACAATGATTTTTAATGCCTCCATTAAACAAGCACAAGTTCCAATGCAGTGGAAAGAAGCAAATGTCGTTCCCGTCCCTAAGACATCCTCGGTCACGGATATATCTTCAGACCTGCGACCTATATCTTTGACCGCCACGCACTCAAAGGTTCTTGAATCATTTCCATTTCAATGGATTATGGATACCATTAATTCTCAGTTGGACCCAAAGCAATTCGGATCGTTAAAAGGCTCTTCTACGATAGACGCATTAATTAGCGTGTTCCACTGTTGGTATTCTAACACAGACGGCAATGGCGAGACTGTTGGTGTTTTTCTGCTTGACCTTAGTAAAGCATTCGACAGAATCAACCACAAAATCCTGATAAAAAAGATGCAATTACTAAATATTGATAAATCCTTAATAAACTGGGTTATTGATTTCCTGATGCAAAGAAGACAGAGGGTGAAATTGGGTTCTTCGTTCTCTGATTGGTCCTTGGTAAATGGAGGCGTTCCGCAAGGTACAATCCTTGGCCCATTACTCTTCCTCATCATGGTCAACGATTTGGCTATTAACCACAAAGATAGATGGAAATATGTTGACGACACTAGTCTCTCCGAAACAATCGGTAAAGGTTGTCAAAGTAACCTGCAATCCGTTATTAATAATATCGATCAATGGTGCACGGAAAATGATATGATGCTTAATCGTTCTAAATGCAAAGAGCTAATTATCTCGTTCGCTAAGGACGTCCCTAATCTTCGACCATTGTTTATAAAAGATCACTGTATGTCCCCAGTTTTATCAGCAAAGGTTCTTGGTCTGTACTTTTCTTCTGATCTTAGTTGGAACTTACATGTTGAACACATAGTATACAAGGCATCAAAGAGACTTTTTTTTCTCCGAGTGCTTAAACGCAGCGGTCTTGGAGGGAGTTCTCTAATTCAAGTCTATACCACATGTATACGACCTATGCTTGAATATGCATGCCAGGTTTGGAACTTAAACTCCCCTGACTATTTAAAGGAAGAAATCGAAAGAATTCAGAAGCGAGCCCTACGAATAATATGTCCTGACCTGTCATACCGCAAAGCCTTGGAAGTTCATGAAATATCGTTGCTCTCTCAAAGACGAAATAATTTATGTAAATCCTATTTTAAGAAACTTCACAACCCGGAAAATAAATTGAATGAACTTATCCCTAATAAAAGCGAGGACTTACGTACTTACAATCTACGTAATGATCAGCATATTAACTTAATTAATTGTAAGACTACAAGATTTAGTAAAAGTTTTATTCCTTCTAGTATCGTATCATATAATGATTCATTTTAATTGTAATATAAATCTTAGTTTTAATATACCGTATATTACTATATGTATTAGTTTTACCATGTATTTTAAATGTCAACTCTGTACAATTCAGCTCTTAGCTGCCGTTCAGATTTTGTAATAAATTCAATTCAATTCAATCCACATGTCCCCCCCCCCGTCCATCCGCCTCTTCCCCCGTCCATCCGCCTGTCTCCCCCGTCCATCCGCCTGTCCCCCCCCCGTCCGTCCGTATCCGCATTTTTCAATTTTCCTGTAATTTACATTTTCGGTCGTTTCGTTTCGGTCGTTTCGGTCGTTTCGTTTCGGTTGTTTCGTTTCGGTCGTTTCGTTGCGGTCGTTTCGTTTCGGTCGTTTCGATGGTTTCGGCCGTTTCGTTTCGGTCGTTTCGTTTCGACGTTTCGCCTTTTAGTACATGCCTAAACGGAGTACGTTCTAATTGGATCACGATATATAGGATAAATAGTTTGGATGTTCAACCATCAATATTGATAAACAATCGGAGTCCAAATTGACGAGCATGTAAACTGGAGAATGCATATTATAAAATAACATGTACATAACGCGTATTCTGATTGGTCGAAAGCCGTGTTTGGATCAGGCCATCCAAACACGGAAGACTATCGTGTTGTTGTTATTTTATAAAACAATTACTTTATGGTTTCCGTGTTTGGATGGAATGATCCAAACACTTGGGAATGTTGCTCGAGTTAAGAAAAGCGGGCAAAATCACTCGCCTTCGGCTCGTGATTTCGCTCGCTTTTCTTAACCCTCGCAACATTCCCGCGTGTTTGGATCAGGCCATCCAAACACGGAAACCATAAAGTAATTGTATATTGAATCCATCGCTAGTAATATATCATCAGGAATTGGCGCTATAAAAAACGTAAGGAATTTGTTGAACAGAACACTTTGGTTTTGATATATAATGCTTTAATCCAACCGCACCTTGATTAATGATTACTGTTGCGAAGTTTGGGACGTCAAATAGGTAAAACACTTAGTCTTCAAAAACTGCAAATAAATAGGGCGGCTAGAACATGCAATTATGAATTTCAAAAATGAGTCTGGACAATCCTTATTAATTGCTCGCAATTCACCTGGTAATTGGATAACCCTTGGGCTTGAAGAACGCAGAGTACAAATGAAAGCTATGCAGACTTATGTACAAATCGATTAATAAATTAGCTCCCCAAAGACTGCATGAGTAACATTTTTCAAAATTCAAATACAATTTATGATTATGATTTGAGAGGGTCTTCAACACTTAGTATATACGGCTATACGCGCACTGATTGGTCACTAAAAATGTATTGTTAAGGTCCACACACACCGGACGCGATTCGACAACGCGATTTTTCGATTTTCACTGACCGATAACTTTGATCATATACTAGTTAAATTTTCCAAATATTTAGAAGCGCTATAACATTTTGAGTTATTTGTTCTACATATCTTTTAACTGACTTGCTCTCATTGGCTGTTTTATTCACTTTCAAAAACTAAAAAATCGCGTCGCGTTGTCGAATCGTGTCCGGGCTTAATCGTCCGATTGAAAAAAAAATCGCTAGGATAATTTTTTTGCCAATCATCGCGTGTTTACAAGTAATCGTATCGTTATTGTTGTGTGGTGTGACCTGGGCTAAGGCCTATATGTTCCAAGAGGCGTGCTTGCGAGGTGAAAAAATAATTTAATCGAATTTCACTGCATGCTGTGCGTAAGGTGGAAAATATATGGGCCTGACAATTCAGGGGCGGATCTAGGGGTAGTCAGATTAGTCACGCGACTAACGTAAAAAAAAAGGCATATAAAAAAATTTGGACTAAGGTTTTTGAATTTTTTCCCAGCGCAAACACTTCTCTTCATTTCTGATCACGTAATCAAAACTCTATCACACTTCAGCATATAAACTTCGATCAGTTTTTGCACATTGAGCCAGCGATTGATTAGTCAAACGATAAGTCAAATAAGCGGTATTCAAATGAAAATTGACTATTCTGCGTTTTAGTTCATATGATTTGATTGGTCAAATTTGCTCAGATTA